TTTACAAGCCACTTGACTGAAATGACTTACTCATCTGATTATTCATCTGCTACCATTTTACTGTGAACTGTGGGGTAATTAGTTGTTTTCACTTAGTAAGTTTAACTTTGTTGTTGTTGTTGTTTAGGAATTATAACAACAGCAATATCATTGCCCATTTGTTTTATGATAGAGTAATTGAATGTTCAGTGGCTGAGTTATGAGACAGAAGAACAGGTAGTTTATCACAAGTGAATTGGATTACTGCTTTGCAGAACACGGGGGCAATGATGGTATCACTTAATTATAAACTTCCAAGGCAAACTGCTCAGTGTTTCTTGGGAAGCCTTCAGAGGTGTAGGGCCAAACATGACCTTGAGATCAGTTGCTTAAGAGTTTCATGGACTCTCGGAATGCACTTCCCATGCTTTGTACCACTTTCAAGAAACACAGCTCGTCTGTAACAAATTAAGATCGCTTACTTTCATCATTTTATTGCTGGGAGACCATAAGAAAAAGTGCTGTGTGCTCCAGAAACTGATTCAACAGGAGAGAAGCAAATGCTGAGATGAGTTTGAATCATCCACTGGCCTTGAAAAAATCAGAAACATTTGAGATCCGTTATAATTACAGTATAGTGAAGGGGAGCAATGCTGGAAACTTGCCCCACTGACATTCAGAGTTAATGATGGAAAAAAACTGTGTCCTAAATGAGAACATAAACTTTTCCTGATTATTAGCAGTTATTTTTTATGAAGAATTATGAACACACACACACACAGTCACAGCATGTAACGAATCGGCGTGATTATTAAATATAACAGCTATGGTCCTTGGCATGCTGTCATTTTCAGGTGCTTTCCCTTAGCTATGTTTTCTTATGATTTCTTTCTCCCAGTGATTATGGAACATTTTTATAATCTTAAGGACAATGGCTATTTATTCTCTTTCAATCAAGGTACTTGCTGTAACTTTTTATTCACCCTGTAGGAATTTTTAAAAAGTTACCTATGTTAAACGAAACTAGAGCAAGTACTTTGTATATATTCAACTTATTAAAAGCACTGTGTTCATCCAGATTTTAATTGACGTAAGGCTAGGAATATACCATATGATATAACAAAAAGAGTCTTCTGTTTTCAGACAAGGGTAGTAAAATCATGCATACATCACAAGGACAGATGTGTGATGGTGGTAAGAAATGTTCACTGCTCTTCCTCTTGTGCCCCTTGCCCAACTCTTTACTGTGGTGTAGTAATTCTGGTTTCCATCTGGAATGTGTGCAAATATACTTGATAGTTCACATGGTTCTATAGTAAATGAGTGCAATCATAAGGACTTTATGAACTTTTGTGGTGATTCACAGTCATGGGTCTGGTTTAGAAAGAGCAGGAAGGCTGAAGGAGAGGTATCTCACCATAAACATATCCTGCAGCTCTTGAGAGAATGCCATGTGAGGGTAAATCTTCAAAGCTTAGATTAACTCCTTTGATGACAGAAGTTTTAGAAGCTTTTAAAATTCCTTTTTGATCTTTTGATGCGTTTTGGAGCTTCACATCAAAATCCTTTTCCCTCTCAGCCCCCTGCAAAAAAAAAAAAAAAGAAAGAAAGAAGAAAACAAACCTTGCTAAGAACAGTGATGTTGTGAGGGTAACTAAACCGTGTGTGAGGGGTTGGCATAGTTTACAACAGCTCCTTCATTCCAGCTTGACAGCAGCATCTGAAACAGCTGTTTGACAGTATTTGGCACTATGTCAGGCTACTACAGATAGCATTTTTTCAGTCCACTGGGAACACGCTTAGAAAATTCTGCTATCCAGTGATGTATCTGAATGTCTTTTTCAATAGTATTTAGTGTGGTGGATGCTGTCAGCCATGTTACTTGGCACAGCCGCTTCCTGTAGATTATCTTAGGAGGAGGGCAAGCATCACAAGTTTTGCAAAGGAAAGGCTGGATGCTCATTGTGTGGGATCTGCCTGGCAGAAGGCATATTGGTGGTGACCTGGGGAAACAGAATATTTGTTACTGCCAATTCCATTGAGAGCAGCTGAAGTGCCTATTCTTTCTTTTTTTCCATGAATGAATGGTGTCTACTAAAATTCTTACACTTTATAAAAGACATTGGCTTCTGTGTAAAGGCTGAAGTGTAGGAGAAAGGATTTATTAGCAATATAAAATATATAGCAAAATGGAAAGCAAATGCTACTCAGATGGTGTTTTTACAGATGTTACATTACTGCTGGAGAGCTAGAACAGATTATACTTGTGCATACAAACCCTTGTTAAATCTTTTAAGCAGTGCACAAGCTTGCTCATGATTTATTCTGTTGGTTATTTTTATTTTCTCTTTTCCCTGCAACTGTGATGGATTGCCTGTTTAATAGTGCCTGGAACTCTGCCAGCATCAAATATAAAGTACACTTTTTTTTTTTTTTTTAACTTGCAAATTTATAAAGATTTACAGATGACAGCAGAACGTGCAACAAATTGATTCTGTTTTGAATTCTTTCTGCTGTACGGAATTAACTTGAAAGGAATTCAGGAACAAACATTTTTCTATTACTAATTCCTGAATACTCTAGCTGGCAGACACTCTATTCAGTTTATTCCTATGTTTTTGTATTGTTATAAGTCATATGATCTTTTTAACTTTGAAGAACAGGCTTCAGGGGGAGAAAGTTGCTTGAATAGGCGTGATTCTAGATGTGCTCAAATTTACAAACTTTCTAGAAGCTTCAATACTCCTTTATCCTCCTCTAAATAAATGAAATAGAATGCTGAAAATACTTGGAGGGATGGAACACTGCAGGATGAGGGGGCACTTTGTTAAGCAAAGAGATTGGCTCTCTTATGTGCTCTCTTTCTTCAGGATATTTGTTCCCACTGGAAACCAAAAGAAACCACAAATCAATCATCAGCAATGATTGAGTGCTGAATAAAATGTGCGAGGTGTGATAGGGATGGAGCTTTGAGCAACCTGATCCAGTGAAACATATCCCTGCCCATGGTGATGGGGGGAATGACTAAACCATCTTTAGTGGTTGCTTCCAACGCCCAAATTCTGTGTGTTTAGTAGCCATAATAGTAGTAAATTCATTCATAGAATGTTAAAAATTGAAATAGTCGTGTATTTAGCATCACCTAAGGTCATGTGGTGGAAAATACAATGAAAGAGTAATGGGTACTAAGCTGGGACTTGTAGAGTTTTATGTGCTGTTACTGTGTCACTATTAAAGCTTTGAACAAAACCGTTCAAAACTTGCTTTCCATCTTACAAATTTGGCTCTTTTTTTTTTTTCCCTAAAGAATACTGTCAATTCCCTCTGAGATAACAAAGCTAGGTTTATGTAAAGTGGAAAATCTGGAATTTTTAATATCAAGAGAGCACAAAAATTTGTTTGCTTCTGTTATAAGGTGATGCAATTTTGTTCTCTTTAAACCTGCTTCAGAGACTGATGTCACTGGGACTATGTATACCAGCCCAGTAGCAAGTATTCCACTTTCTAATGCAAAAACAATGATTTCTCTGTAATCTTAGTATTTTCAAATTCACATGCTAAAGATGGCATTGGTCATCCTAGCACACTGGCATCCCCACTGCATGGCTGATTGTTTTCTGTTACCTCCAAGTCATGTAGGTCCTATTCTAAAGCCAACCCCAAGTTCTTGAGGGACATAGCTATTGTGCATGTGCAGACAGTGCTGGTTGCTGAGGACTGAACCCAACATTGCTCCAAGAAAAATTTTGCATGCATGGAAACTGGAGTTCGCTTAGTGTCAAACTGTGAATATTAGGCTAGTGAATGATGACATGAAGAATGTTTGTTATCACTGTTAAAAACTTTTCCAGTGAAGCACCAGTGCATGACAGCATCTCTTTTCTATTCTCATTGTAATCATTTTCAAGTTTCCTAATTTCTAGGAACAAATATGCCTTTTGTTTTGGCTTATATGACATGATTCTAATGGTCCCTTACAAGAAGACATTTTTCTCCTTGTTAATTAGAAAAAAGCAATTCTAGTAACTGTTTTCTAACTTATCCAGCAATTAAGCAACAAAATATTTTTCTGTCTAGTGCTTGTTTTCAGAAGCAATAGGAGAGCTGAAGATGGCTATTAATCTTTTCTGTTATTTGCAAAAGATACACTGCCTTCCCCCACCCCCTTTTCTGTAGTACTGAGGATGCCATTTTCCTTTTATTTTGTGGATTGGAATGCTGATGATATTCTTTGAGACTTAGCAAATAAATTTATTGGGTTAGCTGCAGAATTTCTCTTTAGATTACATCCTTAATTTGCATGGAAAAATGTGCTTTGTATGGGAAGATATTTGTCTGATGCTTCTAAGGCCTCCAGCCCTTTACTGTACTTTTTAGCTACCACTTGCTTTTTAGCATACAGTTTGGGTCATTGATCAAAAGAATCACTAAGAGTGCTAAATGAACACTTCAGAAACATGAAAGAAGAATGCAAAGTGCTTTTCTTTTTTTTTAATTAGTTATCTGTTTTTCTTTAATGTTAGTTCCAGAGCTTATACTGCTGTCTGGCATTCAGTCCACAGAAGTGTCCTTGAGTGGGCTGGTGTGACTTAGCCAGCATAAACTACACAAGTCAGCTCTCTCAAAGTGAAGCAAAATGTTTATGGCAGCCTGCTGAGAAGACACTTTCAAATCTTGTTAAGATCTTATGGCACAGCACTACTGGCTGCCTAAATAACAATTTAATAGGACAACTCAGTTTATTATTATTTTCTTGGCATTAGTATTGTATCCTTGATGATTTAACATAAGTGATAGATGGACTCAGAAAACCTATGACATTTTTCAAGTGGCTGAGCTCAGTCTTTGCAAGTCTGGTGTTATGCTGATATGATGGGTGAAGATGCTCCAGCCATCAGTGGAATGAGGGAGAATTTTAGAATGGTTAATTCATGTTGTCTTGAGCTCCCTCAGCTAATCTTCTAGTATACACATCTGCTTTTGAACTTTTCTCTGCATTACTTTTCTTCTCTTTTAGGTAAGCCCACCACTCTAGGTGCTAGAGAAGCAAGTCAGGAGTCAGAAATGGTGTGAACAATACATATGAACACTTTGTGTATTGGAGGCTGATATTCATACGTGGGGGACAAAGAGAGATTGGCTGAGGCAGTCTTAACTACATGTCAGGTATGTCCAGATCCTGAAATGTCTGTGTACACCTTCTGTCTCTGCCAGTCAGGGCTAAATCCCTGTAGGCTCCCCACTTCATGGCTGCCCTAAGGTTCCCTTGGCCACAGTCTGTTTGTCTGTATCACAGAATTGCAGATTCCCTAGAGTAGGTTGCAGAGGTAGGCATCCAGGAAGGTTTTGAATATTTCCAGAGAAAAAGACTTCATAATCCCTCTGGGCAGTCTGTTCCAGAGCTCTGTCACTGTCACTGTAAAGAAGTTATTTCTCATGTTCATGTGAACTTCCTGTGTTCCAGTTTGTGTCCATTGCTCCTTGTTCTGTCACTGGGCACCACTGAAAAGAGCTGGCCCTGTCTACGTAACTCCCACCCTTTAGATATCTGTAAGCACTTATAAGATCTCCTCTCAGTCTTCTCTTCCCAAGACTGAACAGTCCCAAGTCTCTCAGCCTTTTTTCACAAGGGAGAAGTTCCAGGCTCCTCATCCTCTTGGTGGCCCTATGCCCAGGAGCACTTTATTCCTATCACTTTTTAGCAACTTGTGTCTAAGACCTGTCTCCTTGAAGATGTTTTATTTGTGAGGCATATGAAGAACATGAGAGCTATCCCAAACATGTTATCATTGGCTATATCAATACACAGCCAAGGGAGCAGTGGGAATGCTGCCTTACCCCACCAGTGAGGGCTGATCTGAAGTAGCTACAAATGATGTGGGAGATGATGGGATAAAACTTACTCCATGGCACAAAGTCTAACTGTGATGTTTGAGGAAAGGAAATTAGAAGGAGTCCTGTGAGTTTCAGACTTTGGGAAACTGTTCCAACTGTAACTTCAATAGACTGATAAGAGCAAGCAAGAGTGAGAAGCCTCTGTCATATTGGCTTGGTGTATCCTCACGGGAGTCACTGGATGGCCTCAATACCAGCTTGTGCCTGTAATAGAAGTTCTAGCTGCAGAGCTAATATTCTTCCTTTCCTGCTGACCTGCTTTGAGGTTTTATTTTTGCTCACAGGCGTAGGACAGGGGTCTGTTGCTTGTACTTTTCCTAGGATTGATCATTCACATTAAATGTATTCTGGGTGAGGTATCTTCACCATTGTTCCACTTGGGCACATCCTGAGTCTTTTGCATGGTGTGACACACTTTCTGGAGAGTGCACCTACTTATTAGAAAGGCTTTAATGCTAACGGGGGGCTAATGTCAACTCTTGATGATGGAGCTGGCATTTAGTTTGGGTCACTATATTAGCTGTTCTTGCCTTTTCAAATGTATTGTAAGCAAAAGCTTTCTGATTAAGGCTAACCCTGCTGTTGCAGAAAAATAATTTAAAGACAAAAGAATGATTTGTTTGTACTCCTTGGACAGTACTGTGTACAATCTCTGGTATTCTCTGGCTGCATAAGGTCGTCTTGCACTGCTAAAGCTTTTGCATTCTAACACTTCAACCGTGTGCAGACCAAGCCCAGCTTATTTGACACAGCTGCTGTTATTGGTTTAAAACTGACTAGTATTTAAGTTTCTTCTTTATGAAAGGCATTTAAAAAAACCCAGATTGCTGCTATTAATAAGATGTGATCTACTCCAGCACATTTCAGAGATTCGGTTCACTAATCCATTACATTACACTCCCTTATGTTGAAGTATTCTGCAAGTGGAGAAGTAAAGTACGAGATGAACTTTTAAGTAAGGTTTACTTAAAGTACAAGGAGCTTAATGTGAATGGATTTTATGTACATATTTGTATCCTGCTTTTATTTGCCAGGCAGAGCCCTCAGCCAGGACTTAGGAAGGCATTGTTCTAGCTGTTGTACAAATGCAATGTGAGAGACCCCTGCTTGAAGGGACATTGGCATTTAGTGATGGTGAGCATGTGCTGGGAGGTGGATGTCAGGGTTGTGTGCAGAGGGGGAATTCAAAGCAGTTGTGAGGCTTTAAGCTTGCCTATATAGCTGTCAGTTGACTTGTAGTTGCTACACTGTGGTTTTGGGATAACTGTTCTTATTAAGTCCCATTCCGGGTACCTCTGTCTTGTTTATAATTTAGGACTTTGTGTGCAGTGTAAGTGCATGTTAGATTTTCTATATGCTGTAATTAACCCTTTCTTTGAAGGAGCAGAGAGCAAGAGGGATGTGGTTTGAACTGGCTCTGATGTATATGTTTTAAATAAAAAAGATTTAAAATGGGTACTGTGACCCAGAGGAGAGGTAATTTCTATATGGGGAAGCTAATTATCTCATTTTGCAAAACTGAGAACATAACTCGAAGTGGATGCGTTTGGGTTTTTTGTTTGATTGTTTCTTATTTCCTGTGAAAGCCTCTGTAGATGATTTCACCGAGGGCAGAAGCTCTGACTGCCAATGGACAATCTTGGCAAAAGGAAGAACTTATGAGGACACACTCATAGGGTGCTGGAAGGTGTCCTTCTGCATTTCTTCTTGCCTTCTTTTTTGTTGTGTGAAGGATTCAAAAAAGTTTAGGATATGGAAACTCCTCCGTTGGAGGAGACTGTTTTGATTTTAGCTTAAATTCTGATGCAGAGTGTTTTATTTCATATTAAAAAGTAGTTATTTCAAGCTGTAATCAAAGATGTGAAAGTTTAATTCGTAGCTGGAACATACTTTAGGGCCAGAAGGGACCATTAAGATAATTTCTAACCTCCTGCATAATTACTACTTGCTGTTGTGGAATGAAAGAAAAAAGCTGTTGTGATTTTTGTTTTTGTTTTGTTTTTTTTTTAATTTGAGAAAAATCATTAAAAACCAAATACATTTTAAACTAATTATAAATACATTCTGAAGTACTTCTAATAAAATTGAAAACATTAATGTGCTCTGTCCTGGTCATCCATACAAAAAATATTTGAAGTGTGTCTTTACTTTTCAAGATTGCATCAGAATAGTTTATATAATGATCAAAGAAAGGAAGGCAGGAAAAGGCTTGGCATTCTTAATCCCTTTTTTGCCGCTAATATTTTTGGCTTTTTGAAATTTTAAGTTCTATCAAAAGGTAAATATTATTCACAAATTTGGGCTAAAAAGAGAAGAATGTGAGGTTTGCGTGATATAAACTGATGCCATATCATGCACTCTGAGTGTTGTAGCTCATTCTAAACATTTACACTAAACACTTTAGTATAATATTTCTTTCTTTTTTAACTTGCATAATGTTGAACTTGAAGGTTCCTGCTACTAAATACTCATTATAAAATCAGTATACCTATGTATCACTTTCACTAGGTAAATGTTAAAACAAATGTCCAACCACAATTCTTAATGCCTTACCCTGTGACTACTGCTTTATGTATCATCAGTTACAATTGAATATATCTTCTCTAATAACACAGAGAGTGCTGTAACATAATTGTATCATCTGCATGTAGTGCCAACTAGCAGAGATTAAATTTACATGTGTGCAATAGAACTTAGGAAGAATTGTGATGTTACTGCATAAAATTAAGGTCAAGTTTTATTCTAGGCCATCATCTTCTCTTACAGTATTTTTCAGTGGGCTGATTTTCATTAAGGTAAGATTTTTGGCTTGGTACTCGGAATTTGTGGAAGCACAGTAAGAGAACAGGAGATTTTCTTGATCATTCCAAGGTTTGGTTTGAAAGGTATGTTTCTTCATGAAGTTAATATTCAAGTGGAAGGTCAGTGGTGTCTGCACTAGGGACTGTATTTCACGAAACTTAATTGAACCATTCCTTCTTAGATGTAAATCTTCATTTAGCAGTGTCACCTATGGTGGGAAATTGTATGTGGGTAACCATGTACCAGTTTGTTCTTTTTCCCTGATTATGTCTTCCTTTTTTGAATTCTGGAGCTCTGTTCAAGCAGATTTATGGGAGAATTGGTGCACTTTGCAATTAATATTATTTTTTTCCCAATTCCTGTCAAAGGAAGGAGCTGAGCCATAGCTTCTGCAGAGATAAGCAGGAAGCTGTAAGGCTTGTCAGGCTGAGATGCCCAGTGCAAGGATGAAGGGTCAGCAGAAGGCTGCTGTTGTGTGTGCAGGGTAGCAGCACAGTGCCTGCAAGTCTCATTTAAGAGCCATGGAGGGGAAGGGAGAAAAACATAAGAGCTCTGTGTTGAGAGCTGAGTAAACTATGCATTGTAACTTGATGGACAGTGAGGTTTCCATTCTCCTACCATTGTTTTTTATGTTATGATTTTCATGTACTGTAATTCTAGGCAGTGTTTCTGGACTGTGCTGGGCACCTGGCCACTGTCCCTTTCCATCCATCAGAGCTAGCTGTGGATCTGATGGGAGATGGTGGAGAGAGGTGGTCAGTTGTGGCAGTTGTTAGAGGTGGCAGTGAGACCATAAGGGACAGAGAAACCTGACAGTGGTCATCAGACTTTCACAATTCTGCTCTTAGCAGAAAGGAGAAAAAAAGTTGGAACAATGTGATCTAGGGAAGAAAATCACGGATAACGTGAAGGCAGAGGGAAGAAGAAGGCTAGGAGACACCTCTGCACTCAGAAGGAGAACCACAGGGACACAGTGGGAAGGACTGATTTATCTGGATCCCATTTAAAGGGTGATTTGATGTGATAGCATGAGAATTTGTTGTACAATGTGTAGTCTACTCAGGTCCATGTTTTCAGATCCATGCAGCAGTCTGTCATCTTAATGCAGTTTTCTGTAAGGTTGGATCTTGAAAGACAGCTCAAAAAGTGAGTCCCTTTTTTTCCTCATGAAGGTTTCCACCTTCCCTTTCATGAATGCCCACCTGATCAGTAGCGGGCTTGCATTTGTGTAAGCACTTTCCTCAGTCAAAGCAGGATCCCTGGCAGTACTCAAATCCTTTCTTTCCTGAGTTGCCTTCGCTGAAGTTATTGAAATCCTGACAGCTGTAAGCCTGACCTAAAGCCCCTCACAGATGGTGTGCGTCAGTGGGGTTGGGATCAGTATCCTTGAAATACTGGTGCAAAAACTGTGAGACTGGCTTAGCTGCCAACTGGAACTCTGATTTAAAGCAAAGTTGTACGTCCAGGTTTAATTATCCCAAACGCAATCCGATATAAATCAGATAGATACAACTTAAAGAAGATGATATAAGAAGTTATAACTCAAATGAAATCTGAGGTTAAACCACACTGTAAGGGGACCCAGAGAGCCTTAATTCTGCTCTGTGGTGACAACAGAAATAGCCACAGTGTCACACGGCAAGCACTTTCCTTTAAACAACTTGCAAGCAAATGTGTGTAGTCACCCTACTGTTTCTATACACCCTGTGTTTGGGTGTCCATGAGAAGGAAAGGTTCTGGGACCATTTCACTCACCCTAGCAACATCATCTGCCAGCATTAGAACAGTCTAAGCATGAACATACACAATACTGAACACGTATAAAAAAAAAAAACAAAAAATAAAACAGAGAAAACCTACAAAAAAGAACAACCCCTTCCAAATGCATTAAATAATAAATAGTTTGTATATGCTGTCATCTGTCCGTGTTCCAGCCTGAAATTCATTTCCTCTTTAGTGTCTTCCCAAGATTTACTTTGCAGATAGATACTTGTATGTTCTGGCAAACAGTTTAAGAATCCATTTTCCCCACCGGAGATTACACTTTTTGAAAGCGTTTATTAGACCAGTCAGGTTTCTGAAATGCTGAGCAATTTATTTTGACTTATTTATTAGAGAAATTGATAGCATAAGTGAAGCATTTTATTGTAAGCAGTTGCTTTATCACTGAAAAATGAATGAGGTACGACATGTTGCTTTTGAATTCCACATCCAAGTGTTAACCAGAACTGAAAACTAGCCTTTATGGTGCTTTTTGATATTACTGGAAAGCAGAGGGAACGGATATATTTATTTTTAAAAAATCTTTTTTTTTCTTGTAGAATTCTACACAGAAGCTTTCTGAAAGTCTTGAGTACTTAAACATTTTGAAGCACTGCTGTGGTATTTGAAAATATGCATTGGTCTTGGAAACAAGTGCAGATTAAGTCAGTGGCATCAAGTTAATCAAGAACGAAGCCACAACATCCATGCAAAGTTCAGCATCCTTGGCCTTTGCATTTCCAGTGGCTTAAGTGACGTAAATCAAGGAGATGAGAAAAAGAAGAGTATAGCAGAAAGAGAGCAGAACAATGGTACATTGCTTGTACTTTCTTTGGAAAGTGATTTGCATCAGCTATGAAGCAGTTTGGTTAGTTGAGAAGTGGAGCAGACTTTGGAGAGGTGTATGCAGCAGTGAATTGTTCTCTGGAATGCTTCCTGGAAAGGCTGGAAACAGCAGACAGAGGGGAATCTTGAGGATTATGGTGTAACGTTCAGTGTCATCACAGGCTCTGTCACTTAAATCCTTCTAATCCCATAATTAGTTTTCTTTTGTGTTTAGAGTTTTCATTTTCCCACTAATTTGCTTAATTCATTGTTTGTCTCCCTGTCGCTAATTCATTTATTACCATCTTATTTATATCATAGATACATTTTAGTTGTAACTGGTTCTGAGCTACTGGGGTTTATCCTCAAAGACCTCCAGTTAGTCTGTGTTCAGTATTTTTTATCTCTGCCATAGCAGTCATAAGTAGGAAGGATATGGCGAGGAGTTGCAGTGTCAGATGGAAGAATTGTACTGTCAAATAGGAGTTTTTTGTGCTCTGTAAGTTATTAATTTAATATTTGATAAAGTTATTTTGTTTTTCTTTATACTTACTAGGTGATGTGCTGCATTGTTCTAGAGAAGATTTGATTCTGTGGTATTTACTCTTGGTATTTAGAGGTTCTATGTTATGGTTATCAGTTAGTGTTTCACCTCTATCAAAAAGTTGCAGGTACTTTCTAAAGTCTTTAATTCTGTTGGCAGTGATTTTAAGGGTACCTAACCACAAAGGTATAATGCAAAAATAGTATCTGGAAGGTTTTCCTGTTTTTCTACTTAGAAGAAATAATTGCCCCAGATAATCAGTGCTGCAGTCACAGCTACCGCGGCACTGTGAAGGAGAAGCAGCAGCTTATGAAGCAAAGCAATCAGTGACCATGGTTTGTCCTTTTGTCATGGGTCGGGGATGCTGCCAAGGCTGGAATCACAGATCCTGTTTTCCCTGCAGTAGTCCCTCAGTTCTGATTATCGAGCTGCTGTTGAGCAACGTTTGTGACACTGTTTCCACTTGGCACCATTTCCACTTGTGGTTACTATTTGGCGAGAAAAGATCATTTCTATTTTTTGGTACTTGAAACTTATAATTGTTTCCGGGCTGCTTTTCTACCCACTGCACCGATTTTAATATTGTAGTGAATTCAGAGTACAGACCAGAAAAGTATGCCTGCCAAAAGCTTGTTTATCCATTTTCAGTTTTCTGATCATCGGTCAGAGAGGCGCTAATTATTTGATGATGGCTGACGACTGATGGAATGATGTTCAAAGGATGCAGAACATCGTAGGAAAGTGTTCATCAGTAAGTTAGGTAAGGAAAAAAGTAAGCAGTGTGAGACTCTTTCAGGGTTCAGAAGGGTCAACCATAATCTGAACTGGCTGAGGCAAGGTCAGATGTCTCTGCTTAGTGATGTCCTAATTAGTAATGCTACTGATGAACTATGAGAGCAATACTGGCAGTCTGATGTTAATCATATGAACCTAGCTCACTTAATTGGATTGTGTTTTGCCACTTTGCAAATCCTAATTATACAAAGAGGCTATTTAGCAGCAAACATGCTTTAACTCTACAGAAGATTTTTTTCCCTTGTCATACTGTTCTTCATTAGAAGAACAACACTTCTTTACTTTCAAGAAGAATTCTTTTACTTGAATTAGAGAGCAGACATGGGTTTGGTTTTGTTTTTTAAATCTTAAATCAATATTTACTGGTAAAATCCTGCCAGCTGGGAGTTTCTACAGTTTCTAGAGATGGTATAAATGGGAGAACATTGTCACAAAATAACAGTCTCCTGCTGATTCACAAAAACCAAAGCAGAGCAAAATTATTGACTGCGAAGTGGGGAGACATTGATTGTTTGACAGTGTTTTCTTACAATGAGTTTGTAAGTTACTCATCCTTTCTGTTAGTCCAAATGAATAATATAGATTTATTTGTTTTGCTATGTGGATGTCAGTACATCAGTGAATACTGTGTTACTGTCTAATTGTATTCTGTTTGAGCTGTAAAACAAATTGACTGATTTGGGTTTCTGAAGGTAGAGAACCTCAACTCTCCATCCCTACTGTGTTGTTCAGCAAATCAGGCTACCTCCTGTACAAGGTTGTATTAAGAACTATATTATCATCTTATCTCTCTGGGGTTGTACATTTCTGTGGCATTCAAGGACCAGAGAAAGTTTGACTCTGTCTCTTCTAGTTTCTGGGAATGACTCTTTCTTTCTTTTAGCTATCTTTTCATCTGTGTATCCTGGCCGTCCTGACTAGCATCTCTTATACGGCAGGCAGCACAGGGGACAGGCAATACGCTTTCTCTTCCTGATGCTGAGTAAAACAAATTGGAGGGTTTTCCCAGTGCCTGCTGCATAGAAAAGATTGACTCCTGACAGCCAACATGAAACCTCTTCTTCAAACGACTGCGTTTGAAGAAATGTCCCACCCGGTTATTGCTGTCTACATGGTGTCTGAGTTCGAGCAGTCTTCTTTATCTATTTCTTTTTAATTTTTTATTTGCTCCTGCTGAGATTGTTTACTCCGAAATATTTTTCTTTAGGGTGGATTGATCAGAAGTACAAGTGTTGGCCTAAGCTGGCTCCCACTGAAAGCAGTGGTGAAGCTCCCATAATGGGAGTGGTTGAACTGAAACTGCATGGTAAATTATGCTGGTGCAGTTTCTCTCACAAACACAGCCTCTTTCCTTTATGAGATGTGAATACACCATACAGAGCTGCAGTGAGCGGAGTTCCCCTGAAGCACTATAGGCATGTAAGCCTAGTACTCAAGCAGAACTAATTATTTCAGCTCGTCAGCACTATTTCTCTGTGCCCACATGATTTTAGGGAACCCCCTGTGTAGCTGTTGGTGTGTCACTTTGTGCACTAACTTACTTGGCACTTCCTTGGAAGTCTTAAAAGCAATATAGGGTGAACACGCCCCCAGAAAGCTCTGTTTCATCACTTCAGTACCTGTTTGTTTCTAGGTGGCAACTGTGTGCTTATTTCCACAAAAGACAGATGTATTTTTCTTTAACAGAAATACAAATGAAGATGAACAGCCACCACTGGCAGCAGCACTGATAAGCTCCTTCTGTTCTCAGTAGTATCCAGATCTGTTTTCTTCATGCACAAATCCCAGAATTCCTCTTTTGGAGAATCAAAGACTATTTTAGTGGATTGGTGAGTAATTGCAAGTCAGTAGACAGGACATCTTCCTGTCCGCTTAATGCACTTCTTTTTTCCAAAAGAAAACTATTCTGTGATTTTAAAAAATTGCTCTTGTACTTTAAAGTTGTTTTTTTGGGTTTTTTTTTTTGAGAATATTTCCAGAAACAGGTATTGAAATATTTCTGAGTAAAAAAAAAAAAAAATCTAATAAAATAGGACAAAAACAAACAAGCCAAACGCTAAGAATTCTACCAGCTTAATTCTTGAGTTTCTTGGAAGAAAAATAATACTGCTTTTCCATGTGGGATCTTTAAATCTGTACAGTAGCCCTACACACACCTGTCAGATATTACTTACGTCCCTCTTTACTCTGATTTTGGCTCACAAAGCTGCTTCTGGTGGAGTTGTTAATGCTCATGGAGATCTGCAGCCTTCAGAGGCAGAGACCTAAATACACACCTTGCTGTGACCTGCAAGTAGGTTAGGCTGACACAAAACTGTAAGTAATCTAGGGGAGGAAAAATAAATAAATGGTGCGTCCATGGTGTGCTCAGAAACCTTTGTGTCCTTCCTGGCCAGGCAGGTTGCAGACCTGGTCACTGAGTGCTACCCTAGTACAGAATCACAGAATCATAGGGGTTGGAAGGGACCTCCAGAGATCATCGAGTCCAACCCCCATGCCAAAGCAGGATCCCTACACCAGCACCTTGATTTCTTGTCATGGGAACCTGAACAAAGTGATGGGGTAGGGTAGAAGAAAAGTGTCTGTCTGACACAGTAAACCAGCTACAAAACAGCCACTTAGATGTTGCCTTGCTACCCCATTATTTATCTCCTCTCTTTTCAGACAGCTGGGGCACCTGTATCTATCTAATTGCATTTTCTTCTGCTTGGACATCTGCCTTTAATTTGTCATCACGTTACAGATGTAATGCAGTCTATGATATTTCAAAAGAATTTCTCACTATAGCATTTCAAATGCTTTACAAAAGAAAGGGCCACGAGAGGAAATGAAACATGGTCACGGACTTTGTGCTTTCTTTTTTCTTTTTTTTATTTCCTATTATGGTTAGCTTGTTATTTCCAGGGAAGGTCTTCTCAAAAACAGTGTGTGGATTTCACTCTCTGAGAATGAACTACAATAGAGCCAAGTGTGATATCTCTTGGCAGATGGCTCCATGCCTTCCTACTTTTGTAAATGATCTGTTGTCAAATGATGAACATCTGATCATCTCCTTTGGGATCTCAGAGGTGTATAACAATGTGTCTGAAATGCAGTGGATTAACTGCTTTTGAGGTATTGATGAGCAAAAATACCAGAGAATCTATACCCATATCACCTCCAAAAGAGAGAATTAAAAAAGTTACAAATTTCAAATTGCATATGTAACAGTTGTTTTGTAATATTGTTTAGAAAGCTGCTTTAGATCTTGAGAACTGGTCAGTTGAGGTGAGCTTCCAGACTGTGTGGATCAGATGAGAAAAGACAGAGTTTCCATCCTCAAGTTCAGCTCTTGTCTTGCTGCAGGTATGAATCTCACTATCCTCAGAGCTCACCCACCCACCCTGAGCTCTGGGTCAGTTTTTAGGGCAGTGATCTCCTGAATGTAAATACTGTGTCACAGTATGTTTAGCAGAAGGCAGCAAAGGAGTTAAATGCAGCATACTATATATATTTCTATGTTAATCTACAGCACTGTGGGGAAATAAGTTATGAATCAAAAATAAAATAAATCACCTTGAGAAAATATCTCCTAACCTAAAAGTAAACTCTACCAAATAAAACGATAAATACTTCTGTGTTTTCCAGTACTGCAAGATTATTAGATTTTTTAAAAAATTGGTGTTGAAAACTACTGGCATGATCGTAAGCTCTTCTTTTATTAGGTAAACAATCCTTTTTCTCTCTCTCTGAAGCAAACAGGCTCTTGAGAGTGATTAATAATTTATGGCAGAGAAACTGTAATTGTAGGTAGCATTTTTGCCCTGTTAGTGTTTAAAACAAAAAAATAACCTAACAACAACAACAAAAAATGAACAGAAAACTAACTAACCTATATGCTGAGGGAAACGGGCACCCTTCACAGTAGAAATAACCAGTACCTTAGGAAATGTTGCAAATAGACAGCTACCACATACTGTGCATAGGAATAGGTGATTAAAACTGAGAAACAGAAATAAATATGACCCTCACCTTAGCAGGCTTCTGGGCAGAGATGTAACTTAATTCTTGTGAACACTGAATAAGTTTTTGCGGGGGCAGGGGCTTGGTTTGCAGTGCCTCCAGGGTGCTGTAATTGCTGTAATTGTTTTGCAGTGATGCTCAGGGACGGCAGTCAGAGCCATGGGCTGTTTGTGTGAGGGGTGGCGGAACACGAGCTGTAGAAGATAGTGTGAGCTGGGGTGTTTTGTTGTCAGGCTTTGATCTCCAGACTGAATTTTCTGAAATATGTTGACTTACCGAGGTTGTGAGGTGCATAGGGTCAGTGCAGTAGAGGTGGAGACAGGGTCTGTGGTAGCAGTAAGAGCAAGTGAAGTGATGGGGTATGTTAGACAGTGACACAAAATTACACAGGAAATATTTAATTGGTGTTATCTAAACAGAGGTACATCTTTCTCCTAACCTTGAATGTGCTCTAGTTGAATTATTTGCAGAAGGACGTGGCAGAAATAGAAGAGATTTAGAGGGCAATGGAAATTATTAGAAGCAGAGGGGCTAACAAGCAAAGAGGCTTGCTTGACCTAGTGAAGGAAGGAGATGTTAGGGTTATATAAAACATGAACTGATATGGAGAAGCTCAGTCCTTTTTCTCATCATAAAAGAACAAAGGAACATTGAAATTAAAAGGCAACAAGTTTGAAACAGATGAAGAGAAACATATTTTCATGCGACATTTATTCAATCTATAGGAATTACTGAGGCAGGATGATGCTGTTGCCAGTAGATTGGTTAGAAAATAAAAATGACGAGACACACATGAAAAGGATTTCAGTTACATGAGCCGGGAAAATAGTTACTGTATATAAGCAATTAATCAGCCTTCAAGGGAAAAATAATGATCGACTGCTGGGTGCAGGAAGACTTACCTGAGCCTTGAATTCTTAAAGAGGAAAAGCTTCTCTTTAATTCAATAGAATTTGGGCTAATTAAGGAGTGTGTGATGGGTTTCATCATTCCACCTTTTCCACATGATCACATAATTAGCAAAAAGTATATTTAAATAAATACTTCCTACTGTCCAGTGCCTAAACACAGGATAGAGTGCTAAACCCCATCTCCTTGTCCCTTGTTCTTCTGGAATATGTTCTCATGAAACAATCAGTTAACGTTTGGGTGTGGCATGTAGGAAGCATTGTACCCTGTAATGCTCAAGCCAGGTTCCTCTCTATTGGGCCAGGCTTCAGCAGAGAATCCTTAGGCAAGGATAAAGTCTTGGGAAGAGTCACACCAAGAAGTGAGGCTTCCTGCACGGACGCAAAAGCACATGGTAAGATATGAGTATTAACGTGCTTTTTCTCCTGGAGTACACAAGCTTTGCCATGGTAATACTAACGTTCTACTAAGAAAATTCTAAAATGCAAAGTTTTAGCTGTTATGTGGTCTTTGTTTTGTTAATGTCAAAAAAGATGTTTACAACTGTGAAACATTTACATTTACATTACGTTTACATTGTGAAAATACAGAACAGCCTGCCTGCCATATGTTATTAATTTCTAATGTTAAGTATTATTCTGAAAGAAAAGCTGCAATATTCCACAAGTTTTTACATTTTTTGCAGAACAAATCTTTAAGTATCTTTGTTGTCTCAAACCTCCTTTATATGAGAATCATAGAATCTTTAAGGTTGGAAAAGACCTCTAAGATCATCTAGTCTAATCATCCACCTACCACCGACATTGCCCACCAGACCATGTCCCTAAGTACTGCATCTACCCTTTCCTTAAACATTTCCAGGGATGGTGACCTCCACTACTTCCCTGGGGAGCCTGTTCCAGTGCCTCACCACTCTTTCTGAGAGGAAATTCTTTCTAATATCCAACCTGAACCTCTTCTGGCACAACTTGAGGCCATTTCCTCTTGTCCTATCACTTCTTACCTAGGAGAAGAGATTACTTGGCTTAAAATTCATTTAGAAGATAATTGCTTCATATTTTTGAAGCTAACCTTGTTTCTGCAAATTATCTTTTACTTTTTACTAAATTATCTTTTATCCTTTTTAAGCATTTTTCTTGTAAGGATGTCACATTGGCTGCTTGTTTTGTATGCTATAACGTTCAGTAGCAATTTAACTTTCTTCCTCTAAAAACAATTTTCAGGACCTAATTTTGCATATATTGTGAATAGAATGGATATGAAGGGTGATGTGATTGCCTGTGTGTGAGCCTACTTGAAAGGTAAAACGGTCCTCACTGAGTCCTCTTTGTCTGTAAATCAAGGAGTCACCCGTTAGATGGGCAAACTGACAGTGACTGCTCCCAGCTCAGGCAAGTCCTCAAGCCTTTATTATCCTGGTATTGTCTTGCAGGTCAGAGGCAGCACAGCAAATTATTGTGATAAATGTCAATAGTTAATTTAACTCCCATTAACATTTTCTGTGTTGTAAACCTGAAATTAAAGACTAAGGGCATCTCTTTTATTATTCTCCATGCATTATATCAGGCTTTGGCTCTCAGGAAAAGGAAGAAGTGACTTGAAAACCTTTTGCAAAATATACGGTGCCCCACTGCTTTTCATTGTCACCTGTCACTCTGCATGAGCAAGGCTGCCCTGCTTAGCATGATGCTGACCCTGCCAGTACAGATGCTCCCCTTTGCAGCGGGGAGGCATGGAAGCAGCCAAACCTCTCAGGGCTGTTTGAAATTTCTGAAGATATCGCTGTTAACTGCAGCCTCTGATAGTCAACCAAGTGGGAATCTTTCTCCTTTGGTCCCAGGTTGAAAAGGGGGGATAAATTCTTTTTTTTTTTTTTTTTTTAAAATAACTTGCATGAGCAGAATGGGCATCTTGTTGT